TGCAGCCTCCACCTCCCAGGTTCAAGTAATTCTCCTGCCTCAGCTTCCTGAGTAGCTGGGACTATATGCACACACCACCACACCCAACTAATTTTTGTATTTTTAGTAGAGACGGGGTTTCACCATGTTGGCCAGGATAGTCTTGATCTGCTGACCTTGTGATCTGCCTGCCTCAGCCTCCCAAAGTGCTGGGATTGCAGGCATGAGCCACTGTGCCCAGACCTAATACATCTTTTAAAATGAGTTCTCCAGAGATACTGTGGTATAGAGACCACTGCCTTCTGGCAGTACCCAAACTTTAGAATCAAGGAATGTGGCAGCAACTTCAAAGTGTTTGTTAAAGAACTTCCCATCACATGCGCCCCTAACCCTGCCACCCCTGGCACACAGGACAGCCATTCAGTTTTTCCACACAGAAGGTATAGAAATAATACTCTAAGTTTGGCTGTGTGGAGCTTCTCAGATGTGCTCACTTGGGCTCCGGGGAGCTATGTCATGTGTTGGTTGCAGTCCCTTGCTCTCTCCCCAGCTCAGCTTGTGCCTAATTCTTGACAACTTTCTATCCTGGATACTGAATGACACTAGCCTCCCCACTGGAAGTTATAACTCTGACAGCTCTTTAGCTTCCGCTCCTCTGAGCGCATTCAGAGCTGGAGGCAGGAGGGTGGCTCTCCCACCAGGACAGGGCCACTGCTTTTCCGTGGCCTGTTCTCATCCTTGACCCGAAAAGGAAGAATGCTGTCTGCTGCCAACAATGGCAGTCCAGCTGACTGACATGGAAGCTAAATTAGGAGTTCATTCCTTGGATCTGAGGAGTATTTTTGCATCTGAAAATTGTGTCCTCACCAAATAACACAAGGAACTCTTTGAAGTCATGATGTCCTATGTTGTGGCTGTTTCTTCTTAGTATTCCAAGCACCTGATACAGTACTGGGTACATGGAAAATACTCAGTAAAGGCAGTGTAGCATTTAATGGACAGGAGCTCAGGTTGGGAGACAGACAGAGCTGGGCCCCCATCCCAGCTTTGCGATACATTAATTGTGTGACCTTGGGCAATGCACTTACTCCTGCAGATTTCCTTTTGATAGGATGAGAGTGTATTCAGTTACTTGACAAATATGTGTTAGGCTTAGAGTAGGGTTGGCAGACAAGCACAAGTGTAAAACAAATGTGGGGATGTCTTAGTCCATTTTGTGCTGCTATAACAGAGTACTACAGACTGGGTAATTTATAAAGAACAGAGATTTAGTCTCTTACAGGTCTGGAGGCTGGGAAGTCCACAGCCATGGGGCCTACATCTGGGAAGGGTCTTCTTGCTATGTCCTCCCATGGCAGAAGGCGGGAGGGCAAGTGAGTGTGAGAGGCAGAGGGGGATCATTCCTTTATCAGGAACGTGCTCCCACAGTAACAGCATTAATCCTAAACCATTCATAAGAGCAGAGCCCCCATGACCTCATCCCCTCTTCAATGCCCCACCTCTCAACACTGTTGCACTGGGGACTACGTTTCCAACACATGAACTTCGGGGGACACATTTAGACCATAGCAGAGTCTTTCAGATGCAGCCAGGGTCCAGCTGATTGGACTTGCCCATGGGTTGGATGTCGGGGTGAGAGAAAGAGCAGGGTCAGGAACGATGCTTGGGGTTCTGAGTTGAGCAACTGGTCAGATAGAGAGTCTGAAGAGGCACGTGTTTGGGGAGGGAGGACAGGATGTCCTCTCTGGGACAAGTCAAGTTTGAGGGCCAGTCAGGCCGTTCAGCAGGAGTCTGTTGCTGAAGGTGAGAGGCCGCCATTCTGGAGTCATCAGTGTAGAGTGGCATGTGGACCTTGGGATGAAAAGGGATTGCCAGTGAGAGAAAAAGACAGTCCATGGAAAAGAGACCCTGGGTGCAACTGATCATCAGATGTTGGGCAGAGAGGAAAGCACAGACGGGGAGGTGGGGAGAGCACGCAGGCTTGAGGTGCAAGAGTGTGGGGTGGGGGTTAGGCAGGTGAGACCACCGGCCCGAGGACTCTGATGCTTCCTGACTCCCTGGAGGCACCCACTGAGCCTCTCAGACTCATTACCACCATAAACTCAACAAACACAACAGAGGACATGAAAAATATTCAGTAGGGTAATTTCTCAGTGAGCCTAGATTTTTAGTGGGATTCCTGCCACTAAAATCCCAGAACAAGTTTGCCAGAAAAAGTTTTCAATACAAGTTTCTAGACAGGAACTGCTTTTAGCTCAGGGCTACTGGAGAGCCAGGAGTTCACACTCATCTCTAAGACGGCACTGGTTTCCCAAGAAGCTCCCAGACTCCACGAGCAACTGTCTCGGCGGCGTCATCTGTCGCTTTCACTTCGGTAGTTACTCTGCCTCCGTCGGGAAAGCACAGTGTCACAGCTTAGCTGTTATTAAACTTTCTAAGCTAAAAATACGACTGATTCCTATGGTAGAAATGGTCTGTAGTGTGCTGCAAGACCTTCATGCTGGTCCCTGGTGTTAACGATGCCTCCCAGGCCCTATGTCCTTCTTTGCTGGTAGGCAATTTTCACTTCAGTTAAGAGGCTCAAACCCACCGCATGCGGGATTGAGAGACCAGCCTTCCTGGAGTGAGTAGGAGATTCCAATCCAGCATGTGCTTTTATGCCCCCAGCTTTCACTCTCATGCCCATTTTCTTTAGTCATACATGGAGAAGAAAAGTGGTTTCTCAAAATGACATCTTCCAGGTCTTAAGAAATTCTGGCTGATTCAAATTCTTTTCTCTGTGTGCACGTCGTCACATAGATAGACCTCTCATACAGACTGTGTAGATCAGTAACTTGGGGAAACGAGGTTTGTTTGTCATTAATATTTAAACACTTAATTTTTTTTTTTTAGAGCTGTTTTAGGTTCACAGCAAAATGAAGAGGCAGGTCCAGAGAGTTCCCATCCACCCCTCCCCTCCACATGCACAGCCTCCCCCATTATCAACATCTCCCATCATAGTGGATAAATTTGTTAGGATTGATGAACGTGCATTGATACATCATTATCATCCAACATCCACAGTTTAGGGTTCGCTGTAGGTGTGGTCCATTCTGTGGCTTTGGGCAAACGTATGATTGTATGTTTCTGTCATTCCAGTATCACACAGAGTATTTCCCCGGCCCCGGGTATTCTCTGTGATACACCTGATATACCTGCACAGCCCTCCCCAGCCCCAGGAAGGTGGTTTTTGTGCAGGGTTTGCTTTCCCAGCCATGGGGGGCCAGCAACACATGTTAACATGTAGCTCACGTGGGTAGGCTCATACAAATTGTTTTCACTGAGTATCAGCATCTTACAGGCCATCAGCTTATCACCAGGTCAGGGAGCTCTGAAATCTCTCCTCAAGTCCTCTGCTCAGATTGGCTGTTTCTTGTTACTGCCACTTGCAGACAGCAATGATTCTCTTGCAGTTCCTCTGCCACCACTGTCATTCAGGTGACCTCATGCCCTTTTCAAGAAACAAGTTTGCATTTGACCAAAAACACAAGATGACCGATTTATGATACATGACCGGAAAGTCATGAAACTAACTGCCTTGCCTAACTTTATAATGTTTTAGTTATATGGTCACACCTCATATAGCACTCCCGGTATGTTTTCAAACACATAGAGATAGATGAAATATGAAAACTGGATACAAGTTCAGCTTAGAAAAGAGCCAGAGGAGCTGGACGCGGTGGCTCAAGCCTGTAATCCCAGCACTTTGGGAGGCCGAGACGGGAGGATCACGAGGTCAGGAGATCAAGATCATCCTGGATAACACAGTGAAACCCCCTCTCTACTAAAAAAAAAACACAAAGAAAACTAGCCAGGCGAGGTGGCAGGCACCTGTAGTCCCAGCTACTCAGGAGGCTGAGGCAGGAGAATGGCGTGAACCCAGGAGGCGGAGCTTGCAGTGCGCCGAGATCCGGCCACTGCACTCCAGCCTGGGCGACAGAGCGAGACTCCGTCTCAAAAAAAAAATAATAATAAGAAGAAGAAAAGAGCCGAAGGAGAAAGCTAAGTCATATGCCCAGCGGTGTCCTTCCCAGCCGCCACAGGCAGTCTTGTATGAGCAGGTGCGTTAGGATGGTGTTCTCAATAGATCAGCTGAGTAGTCAAGAGAAGCCCTTTGCCATTACTTGCAAGGGGAAGAACAAATCTTAAATGCATTACAGACTTTGTGTGCAGATGTCCAGGTGAGAGGCCTTGCGTCTGCACTTAGGGTACCATGGGTAATCATGTAATGATGTCCATATCAGACCCTCTCTCATTTACAAAGTGCCAGAGGCAGCCTGTACGGTAAGAAAATGGGAGCAGCTCTCAAAGGCCTGACCTCAAGTTCTAGTTCCTCTGCTTCTGAGCTGAATGACCCGGTGCAGGCAGTCTCCCATCTCTCTAAGCCTCAGTTTGCCCATCTGTAAAATAGGGTAACACCATCGTTTTCTTCATAGGAATGTTTTGAGGCTAAATGTATTAATAAATGTGATTGATATCTGCTGAACGGTTGTAACTGAGGACAAAGGATTGTCCCTCTGTCCTGTCACAGGCCCCTTGTGGCCTCTCTCTATGGCCATTTACTATGCAAAGAAGGTCACTTGATTGACATCCAACCCCAGCCCAGAACTTACCATCAGGCGATGTTGGTTCCCTCTTAAGGGACTGTTGTTTAATGAATCAAAGAGGTTTCTTTTACCAAAGAGAGAAATCTTTACTTTCCAAAAGAAATGAGATTTGCCCTCCTATTTCTTTAAGTTGCCATTTAAGAAGAATGCATACGCTTTGTTTTTTCAAAACAGCTGCGTTCTGTTGAAAGAATGACGATGTCCTTGAACTGTCTTGATGTGAAACATTTCTCTGAGTAGTTAATTTGGAAACATGCAGAATAATATCATTGTCTTATATTATCAGAATATGGGTGGGAGGGGCGGGGCTCCTGCAAGTAAAAAGACATTTTATTAATTGATTTCCACTTTTTTTTTTTCTGCCTCTCATTTCAGAACGGTTTGATCACCACTGTCCCTGGGTAGGCAACTGTGTGGGGAAAAGAAACTACAGATTTTTTTATATGTTTATTTTATCTCTGTCTTTTCTGACAGTCTTTATATTTGCATTCGTTATCACCCACGTCATTCTTCGTAAGTATGCTGGCGAAATCAGATTACGTATGTAACCATTTGCCTGACTTTGGTTTTCTGATTTGATTTTGATTTAATATTTTGATCATTTCGGGCTCTCTCTTTCCCTTTCTTTCTCCCTTTCCCCTCCTCACTTCCAGCCTGCCTCGCTTTTGTTTCTCACCCTCCTCCATCCCTCCTCTGTCCCCTGTCATCCCCCACTCCCCACCCCATCTTTCACAGCATTTTCCAGGGTTCACACCTGGGCCAGGCTGCGCTTTCACCAACAATACCTCCTCCTCGATATGCACGTCCCTATTCCAACCTCAGTGACCTCACTTTTTCTCCTGCTAACGGGTCCCCTGGAAGACTCATCCCCACATTTTGCACAAGGGACAATGTGCTGCAGTGATGATCATTGAAGAGCAAGGTTTTCTTCCTTAATGTGATATCACCTTATGCAGGAACAGTCACCAGTCACCCTCCTTAGAAAAGATGTCTGGGAAGAAAGACTAGGTTTTCTTGCACACAAATCTATATATGTTAAAAACATACATTTGACAAGATGTTTAAGTATCTGCTAGAACATGAGCTAACTACCCCTGACATACAAAGGAAGCAAATTTGATTAAAAATTAGATTTGGAAATCAATGATTTTAATATCGATTTGCCAAAGCAAATGGCATTTTTTCATTTCCTATTCTGAGGGTTGTAACTTTGAATTTCCTTTGTCTCTTGGTCATTCACTTTCCTACAATAGAAAGTAATGAGAAGGAAGTGAATTTGCATTGAGTTATAAATTTAGGCCTTTGAACTTCCATTACAGTACGAAACACAACATTAAGCACTAGCATTGCCTCTTGTCTACATTCCTGAAGCGTAACCCCTCATTAGCAAGTCCGTAGCTTCTTTCTGGAATGTTTCCGTAAGTATCTGCACAAAGGCTTCACTTCCTTCCCAGGCCGAAGTGCTCAAACCACAAATGGCGTGGGCTGGGCTCAGGCTCATGTTAGGAGCACATCTTCCTCCCTTTCTCTTCTGGTGGGTTCCTATGGGGGTGGGGAAGTGGGTGGGAGGAAATGTTTTGCATTCATTCTTTTTGAATATTAGTCAAACTGGGCCGTTAAATGGACCATCCCAAATTTTCATAGGTACTTTCAATCCTAGTTCCCATTCTTTCTGGCTATAATCTTTCATCCAAATGTGACACAAATGTGTAATATGTGCTTGAGAGCCATAACTTGGTGGACCTGCAAGAGGAGAATGGACTCCCACCTTTTCCACACCAGCTGGGCAGGATGCAGACAGGGGCACCCTCTGGCTCTATTTTCGCAGTCCTCAAAATGGCAAAAATGTGGCTAGGGTCCTATCTGTGCATTAATAGACAAAAGAAGCAGAGAGAACGACTAGGGCATTATATGTTATTTTCAAAGAAGCAGTTGTTGACACAACTAGGGAAGAAATACGAACCGATCCTCCAGCACACACGTAACACTGAAAGGCAGTGTTTAGACATTTTTATTTTTATTTTTGAGATGGAGTGTCACTCTGTTGCCCCAGGTGGAGTGCAGTGGCGGGATCTCGGCTCACTGCAGCCCCCGCCTCCCAGGTTCAAACAGCTCTCCTGCCTCGAGTAGCTGGGATTACAGGCGTGGGCCACAGTGCCTGGCTAATTTGTGTATTTTTAGTAGAGAGGGCCACCATCTTGGCCAGGCTGGTCTCGAACTCCTGACCTCCGGTGATCTGCCTACTTCAGCCTCCCAAAGTGCTGCGATTACAGGCGTGAGCCATCCCACCAGGCCTAGACATTGTATTTTTATATCACCTTTAACAACCTCAAGATGCTTTTGTGTATATTATGGGATTGTATTTATGGCCTTGTCCCTACATTGTGGATATCAAGGGCCAGTTGTCATGTGCTTAGTCGTATACATAAACTCAGGGAACACACACATGCATGCTTATGGCCTCACACGTACTCACACCCTTACACACCCACACTCACACACTAGCCACACTCACACATATATACTCACCCATATATATACACACACATACTCTTACACACCCACACTCACACACATAACCTTACCCACACCCATAATCACACATACCCTTACACACACATACCCTTACACACCCACACACTGTAGCCACATTCACACTCATATACTCACCAATAAGGTCACACACGCATACTCTTACACACACCCTTACACACCCACATTCACACACTCATACCCTTACAGCCACTCACACACACCCTTACACACCCACACTCACATGCACCCTTACACACCCACACCCATACCCTTACACACCCACACTCACACACATGCCCTTACCCACACACTCACACATGCCCTTACACACCCACACACCCACATACCCTTACACACCCACACTCACACACACCCTCTTACACATCCACACTCACACTCTAACCATACCCACACTCATATATACTCACCAGTATGCTCACACACTCTTGCACTCACACGCTGTTGTGCTCACTCACACTCACGCTGTTGCACACACACATGCTCTCACACACACTCTCACAGTGAAATCTGCACGTGCCACCGCACTCCGGTTGTGATGTGTATTTCACTTTCAGCTTCTCTAAGGTTTTACTCACCCTGGCTCCACCAAACTGGATTTTACTATTGTCTATGCTTAAATATTGCAAAACTGCATCTCTTCTTCTACACAAAAGTATTAAGAGTTTACCTGCCTGTAAGTTATTGGAATATTCTGGGCAAAAGAAAATAAAACTTTTCCTTTTCCCTTGTTCGACACCCCCTCCTCAGTGAACCCCACGATACGACCCCACCACCCTATCTGGCTTGGCATGTGATGCTTTGGGAAGAGCACGGGGTTTACATGGCTCCTGTTACCCCCTAAGCCTCAGAAGACATTGGCACAGGCAGAGAGGAGAACTGTCATCTGAGTCTCTCTGTGGGATCCTGGGCTCTTAGAGAAAGGACTGGACAGGGAGTGGCGGGCGAGATTTCTGTGGCCCCCAAGATTCCTGGGAAGGCCAAGTCTGGATTTCCTTGGAGAGGAAGGAGGGTTTAGGCAAGCCACATAATTAGGGTGCAGTAGAGAAAGAGAAATCATTTCTTTTGGTCCCTCATCTGCCTCAGGGCTTCGTTTCCTCCACGTGGCCGCACAGGCACTTGCATCTGTGCCCTTCGGGGCTGGCAGAGATGGAGGAGGAAGCCTTAAGCACCGTTTCTCCTGATGAGCGCTCCACGCAGCTCCTCTCCACAGCCTCTCCCACCCCCTGTGTCCCACTACTCAGACACATGGGCCGTGGGCACAGAGGGAAAGGGACCTTGGGAAGAACAAGCCACTCTTCACCCTCCCAGGTGGTCGCCCATAGTGGGGCACATGGGGATGCGATGGCCACTCATCCCCTACCACTAAGTCCCACAGTGCAGCTGTGCCCGCGGTCAGATGCCACAGGGACACCATAGCACCCATCTGTTGTGTCATTTCCTTGCTGCACGAGGGCCGGATGATGTCCCCAGAGGCTCATTGGCTTCCCACAGCACAGAGGGACCTGGCACTGCTACCCCAAGATGGGATTGTTAAAACTACCTCTTTTTTATTTTTAAAAGTATGATGTCAATGCATAAAATAAAAATTGCTTTCTGTCAGATGCTTCTTTATTCAAGCCCCTAAAGAAATGTTTTCTTGCCTAAGACAGCTCATATTAAAATGTCTAAAACCCAAAAGAAGTCTAATAAATTTCAGCTTTATGACTTTGTTTACTCTGGGTGTACAAAAAGAAGTCTTTTATATGTAGCCTAGTTTCCAGAACTTCCAGGGTCAAAAGTTAACAAATTTGGGGAAAACAGAAGAGAAAAGATAGCATGCAGTATTCTGTTTTCCTATTAAAATGAGGAAAACAAAGGAGTCATCAGAACTGTAATTTATGGGAAAGTGTGCAGACATCCATCTGCTTTTATTGAAAAAATACCCTGCAGATGTTGGGCCTAATTATGAATCCTCCCTTTTCTTGGGGAAAAACTTTAGTGGCGTCTCAATCTCTGATCAGTAAACTGGGTGTCGTAGCACTTACAAAATAGAATTATTTCATTGCTCTTTAGCCATCTATTATTTTTATGTAGATGAGAGCGCATTCAGCACGAAGGCTGTTTATGTCTGAATACTAAATGTTGGTTTCATTCCCACAGGTTCACAGCAAACAGGATTCCTAAATGCCCTTAAGGACAGTCCTGCAAGATATCCTTTGTGATGGTTCTGTTTTCACGATGCTAATGTGTTGAGTATCTGGCTGACCTTCTATGCGCACACCTCCTCATCTTCTGCCCTGGCCTTGCTTCTCATGTATCTTATTCCAAAGAACTCCCCCAGATTCACTGGCAGGAGCAGTAGCTTCTGAATACTTCCATCCTCGAGTGACTCAGCCTGTTTAAATCGAGGGCTTGGAAGCCAAGTATGAATTCTTACCCACCCTCAGAAATCAGGATGGATTTGTGTTCAGTCAGGTTGGTTTGGGGAGAAGTAGGGCTGGGAGCTGCAACTGATCTCATTTTGATTGGCAGGTGGTCCACACAGAACATGTAGGGATGCCCACGTGTGGGTTGCATCCTGGTATGCGGTCACCAAGTGAGAGTCTTCAGACCCTTCTGTATTGATTCTGTTGGGGGTTACAGTTTGCCATTCGGATCACTATATTATTTCCAGGAACAGAACACCCTTTTACAACCCTGAACAGATTGAAGATGGTCAGTCTCGAGTCGTTTGGATTAATGAGGATGGTTTCCCATCCTCCCAAGCATAAATATGGGGATGCACCATAGTATTTTGAATCTTGAAAGAAAAGTGTGTGCCCATTAAGTGCTTGAATGAGGTCCCATCCCTCCCAGGGGCCCCAGGCTTTATACAGATGGGACCCCCTGACCTGGCTCGTCAGGGACTCAGTTCTCTTTCTTCCTCATATCATCAGGTAGACTGGACTTGAACTTCTCATTACTCTTCAGAGTAATTTTCGTCTTTAGGTAGGGAATTCTTCGTTTTTGTTTTGTTTTGTTTTGTTTGAGACCAAGTCTCACCCCATCACCCACTCAGGCTGGAGTGCAGTGGCATGATCTCGGCTCACTACAACCTCGACCTCCCAAGTAGCTAGGATTACAGGTATGTGCCACCATGCCTGGCTAATTTTTGTATTTTTAGTAGAGACGGGGTTTCACCATGTTGGCCAGGCTGGTTTCAAACTGCTGACCTCAAGTGATC